CCTGTAACGTATCTTGCTGCTGGCCTGATCTCAGGTCTGTGTACAGAAACTGGTTCTGGAAGTGGAAGCTATTCAACGATGCTCTGACCAATATGTGTGGAGCTTCGCAACCACTGTGCAGCCACACAACTTAGAGGGAACATTGCGTGGGATGTGGCCATCGCAGGCGAGACCACCATTTGTTGCCCATTTCTAATTGCCATCAAACCAAGTGGCTTGCTGGGCATTTCAGAGTGCAGCTCTGAGTCAACACATTACTGTGGGGAATGATGGCAGACTTCCTTCCCTAAAAGACATAAGTGAACCAGATACATTTTTACGAGATAACAAGGTGTAGAGCTGGATGAACACAGCAGGCCAAGCAGCATCAGAAGAACAGGAAAGCTGACGTTTTGGGCTTAGACCCTTCTTCAGAAAATTTTCTGACATTTTTACGACAATGTCCAATGGGCACCATTAGACTAGCTTTAATTTCAGATTTTATTTGAATTCAAATATTACCATTCTGCCAGCTTACTCTAGATTTGAAATCTCAAACTCTTGCAAAGCCCTTACTGAATGAAATAGTTGAGCGGTCAGTTACTGAATTGGCTCACCTGGAGGCACAGGACTGAAGTGACTCATCACACTGTGCATCAAAGAAACTAGTTTCCAAGTGCCTGACAACAATGGAACAAAGACCATCTCTGAAACCACACCATTTCCCCAGCGCCCACCCCACCCCACCCTTACTGGAGTCATTGTAGGGGGTAGCAGGAAGGTGTTAAATGTTATGATAAGACAGCAGCATCTGGGCCTGCTTTTTGCAGCCTGATGGTACTGGGCACAGATTCTGAGTTGCCATGTGCTGCAGATGGAAAGCTGATGGTGGTGCTTTGTTCATGATCTTTAACACACCAAGCTGCTATTAATGAATCTGTTTATAGTCATCTTGATTCTGCAACAAATTCACTGCCTGTCAGAGTCCAGAATGTGGTGCTGCTGCTTCTGCCTTGTCAAAAAGTAATTCTGCTCATGATTGCCAGCTCTGCAAGGCTAGCCCTCAGTTGTAAGTGTCCTCCTTCACGCTAACAAGTCAATGTCTTGTTTCCAATATGGCTTTGAAGAATTAGAATTGGAATATCCTTTTATTGTCACGTGTACTCAAGTACAGGAGTACAGTGAAAAGTTTACAATGTCACTCCAAATGGTGTCATCTTAGGTACAAAGTAGTTGGGTACAGTCTTAGATACAAAATACGGAAATAAAGGGAAAAAGAAAGGGGAGAATTTGCATTTCTTACAGTTCATAGTATAAGTTAGAAAAATGGGAGTTAAAAAGATAAGCATTATAGTCTTTCAGTAGATCAGTGCAGGGGGCTTCCACACCATGGTCTGCCCGGGCTCACAAACCACCGACTGCCCACACTAGTCCAACAACTGTCCGGTCTGCTGCTGGCCATCCCTGCTCCACGCCATGCCTCCAGCCCACTCTACCTCAGCACAGAACACCAAGAGGGGAGAAAGATGGGGAGAAAACGAAGAAAATGGGGAATTAAACAGAAGGAGCAGAGGAGCTCCAGTTGGAGTGTCCTACTCTATCACCATCTTGACTAAACTTGTTGCAAGTTAGTGACTGCTTCATATTGACAGTTGTTTGGGTGATTGGTTTGAGACCAATGATGATGTCCATGCATCCCTGCTGAGTGACAATGTTGCTGCCTGAGTTAGTTGCTAGGAAATTGGCTGGCTTCATCCTGTATGTCATCGTCCTTATTAGTCAGCATTGAATGTCTGTCTGATGGACACAAAGCTCCTATTGTGCAGCCTGACCAACAGTTCTTTTATTGGCCTTCTATTTCCAAACACCTCCAGTTAGGAAATTCCCCACTAGGAAGCCTAGTGCTGCGCATTGAGACTTCAGGCATAAATATGCCTTACAACCATTGAGACAAAGGTTTGTAATAATGAAGTGCTCGAAGAAAAAAAGCAACGTTTTTAAAAATAGAAAAAATGTACCGCTCTTGAGCCTATTGTGTTTTGAATTATGAACATTTCATTATCCAACAAGCCTCAGTTAGAAATAATTATTTATTATTATTGGAGCCTATTATTATTGAATAATAATAATTTATATTATTTAGAGGGGCAATGGCCTAGTGGTAATGTTGCTGGTCTGTTAATCCAGAGACCCAGGTAATGTCCTGGGGGCCCCCTGGGTTCGAATCCCACCATGGCAGATGGTGGAACTTGAATTCAATAACTATCTGGAATTAACAGTCTAATTATGACCATGAATCCATTATTGATTGTCAGGAAAAACCCATCTGGTTCACTAACGCCCTTTAGGGAAGGAAATCTGCCATCCTTACCTGGTCTGGCCTACATGTGACTCCAGACCCACAGCAATGTGGTTGATTCTTAAATGCCATCTGGGCAATTAGGGACAGACAATAAATGCTTCCTGGCCAGCAAAGCCCTTATTCCATGAAGGAATAAAGGAGTAAAAAGCCTCACATTTTCAACTGCAGTGAGTAACCTAACTAGAGAAAAACATACGTGAGGTGATTTCCCATTACTTTTCCCACTTGCCTGGATGAGTACAGCCCCAACAACACTCATGAAGCTTGACGCCATCCAGGACAAAGCAGCCCACTTGATTGGCATCATATCCACTCCCTCCACCACCAACGCTCAGCAACAGTGTATACTATCTACAGGATGCACTGTAGAAATTGGCCAAAATCCTCAGACGGCACCTTCCAAATCCAGACTACTTCCATCTAGAAGGATGCGGGCAGCAGATACATGGGAACATTGCCACCTGCAAGTTCCCCTCCAAGCCATTGGCCATTCTGACTTGGAAATATATCTCTGTGACTGCAGTGTTGCTGGGTTAAAATCCTGGAACTTCCTCCCTAAGGGCATTGTGGGTCCACCTGCATGTGGACTGCAGTGGTTTTAGAAGGCAAATCACCACCAGCTTCTCAAGGGCAACTAGGGATGGACTATTAAAAAAGTACTGGCCAGCCAGCAACACCCATGTTCCATGAGTGAACTTTTTTTTCCCTTTATTCATTCACAGGATGAGGGCATTGCTGGCTAGGCCACATTTATTGCCCAGATGTCAGTTAAGAATCAACCACATTGCTATGGGTCTGGAGTCATATGTAGGCTAGAGCAGGTAAGGATGGCAGTTTCCTTCCCTAAAGGACATTAGAGAACCAGATGGGTTTTTCCCCAACAATTGACAATGGATTCACCATCATCATTAGATCCTTAATTCCAGATATTTATTGAATTCAAGTTCCCCCATCTGCCATGGCAGGATTTGAACCAGGGTCCCCTGGGTCTCTGGATTAACAGTCCAGTGATTAATACCACTAGGCCATCGCCTCCCCATGTTCTTGCATCACTAAATTATTGGAAACCCTGCATTTAAAGTAATCTTTAAATCGAATGTCCACCTTCTGAGAAGAGTGTTTGTCTGCCACAGTCCACTAGCCACGGGGAAATTGTGTGTGATACAGTGAGCAGAGATCTGACACATTTCCACATACTACTTTGATCGGGACCATTCGATTTCTCATGAAATCCCAATCAGAAGATGTGAGATGGAATATCAGTGGACTATGAAAGAAGAGTCAAAGCTGTCCTCATCCAGGATTATCAATACTTTCTTTAAAGGGGAATACTGGAACAGAGAACGTTGGAATGTTTTTTTTCTGAGTGCTTTCACAGTGCTAATATCCTCAAGGCCTCACTGGTGAAGTGCAGCATTCCCACAGACACCTGGGAATCATTGGCCCAAGACACTGCAAAGTGGAGGAGGAGGGTGCGGGAATACGTCAGGCACCTCGAGATTTGCTACTGGGAGAAAATGGAAGCCAGGCAAAAACAGTGCAAGGAGCATGCTGCCACACCATCGCCCCACTCACCCCTTCCCATGACCACCACTTGTCCCAAGTGTAACAGAGCCTGTAGTAGCTGCATCGGTCTGTACAGACTCACCCTGAGAGCGGTGGAGAGTCATCCTCATCTGCAAGGGACTGCCAGTGATGATGATGAATATCCTCGTCAGCTGTAGTTGGGAACAAATAGCTCAACATAGGCCAACCAGAGAAGCTGGGGCTGCTTTCTTATGTAAAAGTGTGGGCTTAGCTATACAAATCTATTCAGCGGTGTCAGTTACATAAATTTATGCATTTATTTCTAAAATAATAGCCCATATCTCAGATAATGTGTGGCTCTTAAAATATTGCTATTAATATCTGACAACTTGATAGAGCAACTGGAAAATTTACCTTTTTAAGGGTTTCAAATTACGTATCTAACCTGGGAGTTGTCAGCTTGGACAGAAAACTGCTTATTTTTCACCGATCCCTGACAGGGATGGGACTTTAAGCTTGGTACTGGATTCTGGCATTTACTGGATCCACAATGTACTCAGTTCAAAAGTACTTCAGTTATTTATAATCTGTCATTAACTGACAGGATCCAGATATTTTCTTTCTTTGCCAGAAATTGGTGTGTTAAAAGGGTATTTCATTTTCAAAGGTAAAAGCTTGACAACTTATCTCTCGGCAGTGTTCATTATTAAGTGGTGTATTATCATGCTTCCATTTATACTTATGTAAAATTTGAGTTTCTAAACTTGTATTTTGGTCAAAATGTAAGATGTGGCTTATGTACAAATCAACATTTTGGAGGGATTGAAATCTACTCTGTCCCGTTACTATTGTAGAGTGTTTCTGCCAACCTCACCCTCAAAAATAGTACAACAAGAGCCAAAATATCTTTACTCTTGACTGAACAGCCATTGTCAATGGTCTACTATTCTATGATTTTAGAGGTTTACAGCAGGGGTGTGTTTGACTTAATCACTGAGTTGATGGTAACTGCAAAGTGTTTTGAATTTAAAAATTGGGATTTGAATTATTATATACAAGATTGACCATTTTTCATGTGTCTATACAGTTATTCAATCATGTATAACTTCTGTTTCTTCCTCTTTCAATTCAGCAAACGGCATCCATTTCACTTTAGGTAAGTATTTTGAAATCCAGTGCTTTTATTCCTAAGAATTTTTGGATAGTAAATCCTTTTTCTAACTGATAATTCTAACTCAGTGGTGCAGGTTCTGATTTTACTAAATGCTTCATTGTTAACAGATGTCTCTATTTCCTGTTAGGACAGATAATATTTACTCGGTGAAATATTAACTAAAGGATCCAAATTTCAAGTTTCATTGGAAGTGTGTACAGTCTTTTAAGCTTAGAGCAATAAAAAAATTTATAATCAAATGAAAACCTTTTTTGTTCCAACAGCCAAATATGAATGAGCATTTTCAACTTCATCCAATAACAAAATATTACATATAAAAAATTATTCTGCATCTTTTAAAATAAAGGATCCCAATGCAATTCAAAATTGGAATAAACATCAAACCATTGGGGGAGAAGCTTGGGAGAGAGCTGGCCTGATCTAAAAGATGGGTTTAGTGGAACTTGAAAAGGGAAGTGGGGGGGAAAAATGTAAAAGGAATCATCTCCAATGAAGTTGGCATCATTGTTTCAGGATGCTAGCTATGGGTGCCATGGTTGATATGACAAAGCCTGTGTTCTGACTCACACCCACATGCCCCTGCTTGCTAAGACTAGAACTGTCCTTGTTTGCCTTTAGATGCTTCCAGTGATTGCTTCACCACCCCTCAGGTGCAATCTATTCTGCAAGTTAATGTCTGCAGCAAGTTCCTCCTTTTTTAGTTAGAAGGTGGAAGTGACTGTACAAACTCCTGTCCTAGTGTTATTGTCATTATTTTCTTTGGCTTCAGTGTCAGATTTGTGATTTCCTTTTATTCTTTATTCATTCACGGAATGAGGGCTTTGCTGGCCAGGCCAGTTCGCCCATCCCCTAATTGCCCAGAGGGCAGTTAAGAGTCAGCCACATTGCTGTGGGTTTGGAGTCACTTGTAGGCCAGACCAGGTAAGGATGGCAGCTTCCTTCCCTAAACTCTGGGTTAACAGCCCAGCAATAATACCACTAGGCCATCACTTCCCCTTTTGTTGAGTTAGAAAATAGAGAAATACCAATATGGAGAAAGTAGTTGCCAATTTCAGATCATTAAAAATGAGAATCCAGAAAAACCACAAAATTATGTGCCATCAAACTCCATCCCACTAAATTTCACTTGTAAATAATAAAGCAACAGGCTTTGTGGTTTGGAGGTGCATCCATGGCAACCCTACTAGTGATATCAGAAACTCCATCAGGAGTTGGCTGGCCTGGCTTAGTGCCAGATAACTCCACGTAAAACGGTGCCCCATGACTCCATTACAAAAAGACACTCCCCTAAAAAGTAGTTTTAACTCTCTGCTTCTCACCCTTGCCTTTGGGTACTCAATCCATATCTTCAGTCTCTAAATGGGCTTTACTACAGCAGTTTTAACAAAGCACAAACCTATGCCACCACAATCCTGCATACTGACTGAACAGCTAGAATAGGAGCCCTGACCTAGAGAATCTCCCATTGCACCATCCCCTATCGAGTGTGGGCTCCAGCCTGGGATCTCTTCCCAGATGCATATCCACTTCCAGGTCAAATGCAGCCAGTGCAGACCTTGTTGTTTGTGCATTAATAATTTAACGGAAAAGTCAGAGGTATAGTCAAGCAGTTTGCAGATGACACGAAAATTAGTGGCTTGGTAAATAGTGAGGATAGACATAAACAGCAGGAGGAAAGCAAAAGACTCGTCAGCTGGGCAGAGCACTGGCAAATGGAATTCAACCCAAAAAAAGTGTCAGGAAATGCACCTAGGGAGGGCTAATGAGGCAAAGGATTACACAATGAATATTGGGACCCTGAAAATACTGAAGATCAGTGTGACCATGGTGTACATACTCACAGATCCCTGAAGGTAACAGTACAAATGGATGACATAGTTCAGAAGATGTGGGATCCTTGCCTTTATTAGCTGAGGCATAGAATACAAGAGCAAGGAGGTATGAAAACCCATATGAAACTGAATGAAACACTGGTTAGGCTATAACTGGAGTACAGTTCTGGTCACCACATTATAGGAGGGATTGTGATTGCACTACAGAGAGGGTGCAGACTAGATTTGCAAAGGATGCTGCCCAGTCTGGTGGGTCTGAGCTAGGAGGAAAGACTAGATAGGCTGAGGTTATTTTCCTTGGAGCAGCAAGAGTTGAGAGGACCCGATGGAGATGAAAGACATTATAAGGCACATCGATAGGGTGGATAGGAAGACAATCTTTCCATTCGTAGAGGGATCAATAACCAGAGTAGACTGATTTAAGGCATGAAGTGAAGGCTAAGAGGAGGGGTGAGGAGAAACCTTTTTCACTCAGAAGTGGTAGGAATCTAGAACTCACTGTCTGAAAGTGTAGTTGAGTCAGAAACCCTTGTAAGATTTAAGCCACATTTAAATATGCAGCTGTATTCCTATAGTCTCCATGGCTTTGGACAAAAGGCTGAAAAATTGAATTAGTGTAGTCAGATTTTCATTGAAGTGCACAGACATGATGGACTGAATGTCCTCCTTTTATATGCTGTAAGTACCTGAGTCACCTATGAGACTCCTGGTATGGGTCTGTTTGAATGATCAACTAATCCTGGACTTAAATCCTTAGAGAGCTCACTATGTCTGCTCACTGGATATTGATCTGTGCCAGACCTGTGCAATAGTCTATTGTGAAATAAAGGTATCCATGTGTTTGAAGGAAGCTCCACTTGGCCTTCAAATATTCCTTTCTGTCACACATGATGGCCATGTAGAAACTGGTGATTATCGATGAGCAAGGAATCTAGGCCCAGCTGCTGGAGTTTTCATAGTCAGGGTGGAATAGGCCAAATCCATAAATTGCCTGTTTCAATATTTGGGATTTTGAATAGTGTTAGAGGGGCAAGGAGAAAAAAAAAAGACACGATGAGTTTAAAGCTGACAGGTCTGACTTAAGAAAAAAGACAATATCCAATTGTACTACTTATGGTGTGGCCTTTATCATTTGTTATCATCAGGAGTGTTCCAGGCCATCAGCACAGCCTGCAGCAGGCTCTGAGCCTCACCTACTCTGCTGTACTGAAGGGGATGTAGAGTCCTTGCTGCTGTCCTGCTTTCTCGTGGTTAGGAGGCAGAAACAGCAGCTGAGGGAGAACATCCATCCAAACACTTCCCCCTCAACACCCACCACCCCTGACCCAAGATCCATTGTCTCCAAGGAAAGTCAGGGCCTTTTGTCTTGAAATAGGAGTTCTGATCCATTATGTCTGTTTATACTCTGTAGGTGATACCCTGGCTGTTATATTTGGGACCTTGTTTGGATGTACTGCTTTGGCCTTTGCGATTTATGTGCTGAAACAAAAAAGACAAAGGTGAGAACGTTGGAAGCTTTTTTTATCAATTTCAGAAATATGTAGAGAGACTTAGTACCACCACTTAATATATTTAAAAGTATACAAAACATTTTTAAGTGTATAAAGAAACAATGAGAATAAAAAAGATTGCTTACAACTGGCTGCTTTAATGAAAAGTAGAAAGGCACTGCATTATCAGACAGTTGTGATCCCAGTCATTGGTAATGCTGGACAAGTCTGATCCCAAAGACAAACCTGGCTTGGTGGATGGTAAGTTTTATTCTTTTGCAATTTCCTTATCATCGTGTACAGTCACAATACATGCAAAGATGCCAATATACATTTAACAAAAGAACTTTAGTTTATTGTACAAATAGCCGATTTTGAAAGAACTTATCATAAACAGCATAATAACAAAGATTTAATGCTTTTTCTAAGAAATGTCCTGTAGTGAAGTGAGCTATCACTTCTTTCTTCAGTTGAGTAAGAAATATCAATATGAAAATTCACAAGCATTTCCTTTGGCAACTGTCTACATGGTCACCAGATGTGATTCTCTCCATCTGTTCATGAGACACACAGACAAGCCAATACATTGACCTTTTCATCCCTAAAATCTAAGAGAAACTCTGGTCTTTTTCTAGTCCTACCTAATTTTAAATTTTACTTACTCATGGGTTGTGGCCATTGCTGGCTGGCCAGCATTTATTGCCTGTCCCTAGTTGCCATTGAGAAGGTGGTGCTGAGCTGCCAACTTGAACCACAGGAGTCTACATGCTGTGGGTTGACCTACAATGCCCATAGAGAGGCAATTCCAGAATTTTGATCCAGCAACAGTGAAGGAATGGTGATATACTTGCAAGTCAGGATGGTGAGTGGTTTGGAGCGGAACTTGAAGATGGTGCTGTTCCCATATATCTGCGACCCTTGTCCTTCTAGATAGAAGTGGCTGTGAGTTTGGAAGGTGCTTCTGAGGATCTTTGGTGAATTTCTACAGAGAATCTTGTGTATAGTACACACTACAGCTACTGAATGTCAGTGGTGGAAGGAATAGATACTTGTGGATGTGGTGCCAATTCAATGGGTTGCTTTGACCTGGAGGGTGGAAATTTTCTTGAGTGTTGTTGGAGCTGCACCCATCCAAGTATGTGGAGAGTATTTCATCACATTCCTGATTTGTGCCTTGTAGATGGTGGACAGGCTTTGGGGAGTCAGGAGGTGAGTTCCTCCCCACTGCATTCCTAACCTCTGACCAGCTCTTGTATCCACTCTTTATGTTGCACGTCTAGTTGAATTTCTGGTCATTGGTAACCCCCAGGATGTTGATAGTGGGGTATTTAGTAATGGTAACACCATTTAAATGTCAAGGGGAGGTGATTTGATTTGTCTCTTATTGGAAATGATCATTTGTGTGGCGCGAATGTTACTTGCCACTTGTCAGCTCAGGCCTAGATATTGTCCAGATCTTGTGCATTTGAACATGGACTGCTTCAGTATCTGAGGAGTCACCAATGGTGTTAAAGCAGCTTAGGACTTCTTTCCAGCTTTGGTGGCAATAGAGATGCCAAAACGAAAACTACCCTTCTGCTAGTGTGTTTCTTTTCCTTTATACTGAACTGAACCTGCTTGTAGACTTTAGCCTCTCTTCTTCCACAGGCTGTAAAACCTCGATTTAGTAAACACTTCAGCCACTATCTCCCCAAGTAACTTATCTAGTCGTTTAGCTTAGTCACATGTTTTCAGAAATTCTGTTTGAACTCATTGTTCAACATTACTTTCTTACCTATTTTTCTTTTAAAAGACAAGTCATCTTCACAGAACTAAAACTTAAAAGCTCATTAGTCTTCACGTTGTAAACAAAATCCCAAATAATGATGTAACATTATACACCTTCATCTCACTATGCAATTCAGGCTTCACTATTAGTTGAGTTCATTAACTGAAATAAAGCCCTAAAGTATCACACCTGTGTTTTTTTTTGAACCTGCTTGCTGAGGAGCATTCTTAGACTTGCACTTAATCTGCTTCCAACCCCTCAAACACTTTCACAACGTTTAGGCTGAATTGCACAAATCATGGTGGTGGGGTTAGGGGAGGTGCTAATTGATGACATTGAGGGCAGAATTGGGGGTGATTTCTTTACTCTCATTGCCACCCACACCCCCTCTATGATGTTTGCCAACAGCTTGGTGGAAGTCACTTTCCTGAGGATCCACTCCTCCCAAAGAAGGAGGCCCAGGCATCAATAGAAACAGCCAGTGCCCCAAGTGAGGATTTTCTAAGTATCTGTCTATCTCCCAGTGGAACTGCTGAGGTGGCAGCTGCTGGATCTCTGTGCGATCCAGAAACATTGGGGTGTCTCTCGCACTACCTGTTTTATTGAATGTAACTAACTTGGAGACCGCATCCACACATATATTACTGCGATGGTCTCGCTTCTGGCAAATGAGACCACCACTTGGTCCAGATATCTGAGTCTCGAAATCTGCAGAAAAATTCATTTGATAGTTTTGAAATTCACCTGCATCACATGGAATCATTTCCTTTCAACATGATGTAGAAAGCCGACTGAATGAAATGAATTAAATATCCCCAGAGGAGCTGCCCACACATTTTAATGTGCTCTGAGCTGGAGGTGAAGGGTCTAGGCCCGAAATGTCAGCCTTTCTGCTCCTATGATGCTGCTTGGCCTGCTGTGTTCATCCAGCTCTGCACCTTGTTGTCTCTTCCAAGTAGAAGTTTGTTCTCCACTTATTAAGTCAGGTTAAAGACAAAACATTTCATGTCAAAACTGTTAATTCTGAGACAACTGCCTTCCTTTCTGGAAGGCCAACCAAAATAGATAGCAATTTTTATCATCTTTCTTTAGTAACCCTCTAGCTTTTTAAAAACCTGATGCATTTGACCAAGCAAACTCAATTTTGAAACTGTTAGTATAATTATTCCCCTCTGGACCAATATTCCTTATCTGCCCAAGCCATATGCTATCCTCAGGTCAAACGCAAAAGCATTGTTTTCAGGCATATACTAGGAGTTACATTTTATCATTCATAGTCCATGATCTTATGCAGAATAGAAGCCACCACTTTTATAGTGTGCAACAGAATGGACCTTTCTATCAGTCACAACTCCCAGCAAATCCTATGGCATTAAATTCAATTGATGAAATAAATCTGGAATTGAAAGCTAGTGGCAGAAATAAAACTATCATCGATTCTCATAAAATCCCACCTGGCTCACTGATGTCATTTCAAAAGGAAATCTGCTCCCCTTACCCAGTCTGACCTGCAATGTGACTCTTAAACAGTCTCTGAAGAGCAGTGGACATGATCTATATGGACCTCAGTAACGTGTTTGACAAGGTTCCACATGGTAGACTGGTTAGCAAGGTTAGCTTGTAAGGAATAAAGGGAGAACTATCCATTTGGATACAGAACTGGCTTGAAGGTAGAAGACAGAGGGTGGTGGTAGAGGTCGCTTTTCAGACTGAAGGGCTGTGAACAGCAGTGTGCGACAAGCATTAGCGCTGGGTCCACTGCTTTTCATCATTTATATAAATGATTTGGATATCAACATAGGAGGTATGGTTAGTATGTTTGCAAATGACACCAAAACTGGAGGTGTAGTGTGAGTAAAATGGGACCTTGATCAGATGGAATAATGGTCTGAGGAGTGGTAAATGGTGTTTAATTTAGATAAATGTGAGGTGTTGCATTTTGAAAAGGCAAACCAGGGCAGGACTTCTGCGCTTAATGGTAAGGTCCTGGGGAGTGTTGCTGAACAAAGAGACCTTGGAGTGCAGGTTCATAGTTCCTTGAAAGTGGAATCTCAGGTAGGCAGGGCAGTGAAGATAATGTTTGGTATTCTTGCCTTTATTGGTCAGTACATTAAGTATAGGAGTTGGGAGGTCATGTTGCAGCTGTACACAGGACATTGCTTAGGCCACTTTTGGAATACTGTGTACAATTCTGGTCTCCCTGCTATAGGAAGAATGTTGTGAAACTTGAAAGGGTTCAGAAAAGATTTGCAAGGATATTGCCAGGGCTTGAGGGTTTGAGCTCTTGAGCTCTTGGGAGAGGCTGAATAGGATAGTGTTATTTTCTCTGGAGCGTCAGAGGCTGAGGGGTGACCTTCTAGAAGTTTATAAAATCATGAGGGGCATAGATAGGGTGAACAGCCAAGGTCCTTTCCCCAGGGTGGGAGAGTCCAAAACTAGAGGGTATAGGTTTAAGGTGAGAGGGGAAAGATTTAAAAGGGTCCTGAAGGACAACTTTTTCATGCAGAGTGCAAGTATGGAATGAGCTGCCAGAGGAAGTGGTGGAGTCTGGTACAAAAAATTACAGCATTTAAAAGGCATCTGGATGGGGATATGAATAGGAAGGATTTAGAGGGATATGGGGCAAATGCTTGCAAATGAGACTAATTAATTTAGGATATCTGGTCGGCATGAACATGTTGGACCAAAGAGTGTGTTTCCATGCTGTACATCTGTATGGTTTTATGACTCTAAATGGTTCTACGAAACCAATCCATTCAGCAAATTAGGGATGGGCACCAAATGGCAGCATCATTCTCAGCTCTGCAATTATTTAAAAAATGAATTAATCCTTAAATGTCAGTAAACAGTAGAGTTTCTTCAATGAGTAGATCGTGTCCTCTGACAATGATATTTTTAACAAACAAGTGGAGTGCCACAGGGATTGGTGCTGAGACCCCAGCTAATCACCATATATAATTGATTGGGATGAGGGAACAAAATGTAACATCTCCACGCTTGCAGATGATATGAAGTTGGGTGGGAGGGTGAACTGTGATGAGGATGCAGAGATCCTTCAGCATGATCTGGACAAGCTGGGTGATTGGGCAAATCAATGGCAAATGCAGTATAATTTGGATAGATGTGAGGTTATTCACTTTGGAAGCATAAACAATAAAGCAGATTACTACCTGAATGGCTGTAAATTGGGAGAGGGGAGTGTGCAGCAGGACCTGGGCGTCATTGTGCACCAGTCACTGGAGGTAAGCATGTAGGTGCAGCAGGCGGTAAAGAAGGCAAATGGTATGTTGGCTTCATTGTGAGAGGATTCGAGTACAGGAGCAGGGATGTGCTGTTGCAGTTGTACAGGGCCTTGGTGAGACCACACCTGGAATATTGCGGCAGTTTTGGTCTCCTTTCCTGAGGAAGGATGCTCTTGCTCTTGGGAATGCAGCGAAGGTTTACCAGGCTGATTCCGGGGATGGCGGGACTGACGTATGAGGAGAGATTGACTAGGTTGGGATTGTTTTCACTTGAGTTCAGACAAATGAGGGGGGATCACACAGAGACTTATAAAATTTTAACAGGACTGGACAGGGTAGATGCAGGGGGGATGTTCCCAATGGTGGGTGTGTCCAGAACCAGGGGTCACAGTCTGAGGATTCGGGGTAGATGATTTAGGACGGAGATGAGGAGACATTTCTTCACCCAAAGAGTGGTGAGCCTGTGGAATTCATTATCACAAGAAGTAGTTGATGTTAAAACACAATGTATTCCAGAGGTGATTAAATATAGCATTTGGGGTGAATAGGATCAAAGGTTATGGAGAGAAAGCAGGATTAGACTATTGAGTTGGATGATCAGCCATGATCGTGAAGAATGGTGGAGCAGGTTCAAAGGGCTGAATGGCTTCCTCCTGCTCCTAGCTTCTGTTTCTGTTTCTAACGGTAAACATTCTTCACTTGGTTAAAGCTAGCAACAAAGTCAACAATGGAATTAAGACCTGTATTTTCCCAGCCCTGTGAGCAGCAGGTTTGGTGCTGCCTGGGTAAAAAGGTAAAGCGTGTTGGGTCAGCTCTCTGATGTACTTGAATTCTGTTTAATGTTCCCAAGCCATGCTGGGAAGCAGGCTGCTTCAAACTCTTGAAGGGTTTCCCCTCTGCTCTGTTCTGAGGGACCCACCAGCTCTCGTCCACGTAATGCTTTATTTCTATCCATATCTCCAATGGCAACTCAAAGGAGGCATCCTCCTGATCTGCCTCATTCAGGCCCAATTCTCCTGTTAGAGCTTCGAGAGCTGAAGGCTCTGATTGGTCCTGCAATATCTAGAGCTTGCCTGTGTCTCTCTTTAATAGGACAGCCAGCATGGGAGAACTGTACCTGGCTGATTGCAGGTAAGTGTGGGATTGGGACCCCCAGTGTCATGGTCCCAAGGTCTTTAGAAACAATCTGTATGAAACCTCAAAATTGTGTTTATTTTGTAATGCTATCTGCAATCTGAATGCTGCCATTAGGAGGCCAGTCACTGTTTTGCTGAGACAGATGGGATCATGGAATGTATCTCACCCTCATCAGCCAAATATAGGTGTGCTGTTCCTCCAAAGCTGGCTAGGTCAGGTCTGCAGAACTGTGTCACAGCCAACTGTTAAAGCTGTTAACATTGATACAAACCTTTAAGGTCTGTCCAAAGATTCAGGCCTAAACTGAAGTGACAGGCAGTTCTCATGCTGCCATCCCTACCCAGCACTCATTCAACATCGTTATATCAACTGAATCCCATGTAGCGCAAGGGGAAAGAAGTCTCTTGCTGGTTACTTGCAAAAACTACATGCGTTCAACCATGACGAATGGAGTACAGGGCAGTTAGGTCAAGGGGTTTAAGGATGATCATGTTCTAAAACTTGGTTTATACTGACTATGAGATACGTTATTCACACTTCCTGGCTTTTTATTTTTGTGCTTATATCTATTCATTCATGGAATGTGGGCTTTGCTGCCTAGACCAGGAGTTATTATTGCCCTGGAGAAAGTGTTGTCAGGGCCCAGTATCCAGTGCCTCCACCCTCTTCTTAATATCATGTGGAGTGAACTGAATGGCTGAAGACCAGCATCTGTGATGCTGGGGACGTCTGGAGGAGGCCACAATGGATCATCCACTTGGCACTCTGGCTGAACATTGTTGCTTAATCATTTGCACTGATGTTCCAGGCTCTCCTGTCATGGAGTATGGGGATGTTTGTGGAGCCTTCTCCTCCAGTGAGTTGTTGAATTGTCCATCACCATACATGACTGGATGTGGCAGGACTGCCGAGCTTAGATCTGATCCGCTGGTTATAGAATTGCTTAGCTCTATCACTTTCTGCTTATGCTGTTTGGCGTGCAAGTAGTCCTGTATTGTAGCTTTACAAAATTGACACCTCCATTTTAGGTATACCCAGTGCTGCTCCTGGCATGCCCTCCTGCACTTTCCGTTCAACTATTGATGGCTTGATGGTAATAATAGTGAGGAATATGCTGGGTTATGAGGTTGCAGATTGTGTTGGAGTATGATTCTGCTGTGGCTGATGACCCACAGTGCCTCATCAATGCCCAATCTTGTTCTTTTAGAAACAAAAACAGAAATTGCTGGAAAAGCTCAGCAGATTTGGCAGGATCTGCAGAGAGAAATCAGAGTTAAAGTTTCAGGTCCAGTGACCTACCCTCAGAACTGAGTCCTTAAATTCTGAGGAAGGGTCACAGGACATGGAAATGTTAAATCTGATTTTTCTCCACAGGTGTTGCCACACCTGCTGAGCTTTTCCTGCAATTTCTGTTTTTGTTTCTGATCTCCAGCATCCGCAGTTCTTTCGGTTTTTACTGAGTTCTTTTAGATCTGTTTGAAATCTATTCAACTTGGCACGTTGGTAGTGCCACACAACAAAATGGTGGGTGTCTTTACTATGAAGATGGGACTTCATCTCCACAATGTCAGTGTGGTAGTCATGCCTACCAATACTGTCATGAACAGCTGCATCAGCAACAGATAGGTTAGTGAGGATAAGGTGAAATGTGACTTTTCCCCCTTGTTAGTTTCCTCACCGATTGTAGCAGACCTAGTCTACCAGTTGTATCCTTAATGTCTTGGTCTGTCGTAGAGCTATCGAGCCACTCTTGATGATGGACATTGAAATTCCCACTTGCCTGGATGAGTGCAGCCCCAACAACACTCAAGAAGCTTGACACCATCCAGGACAAAGCAGCTGCTTGTTTGGCACTGTACCCACAAGCATCCACTCCGTCCAGTACCAGTGCTCCTTGGCAGCAATGTGTACCATCTAGATGATGCACTGCAGAATTCAGGCTTCTTTGACAGCACATCCTAAACCCATGACCTCTACCACATAGAAGGTCAGCAAATACATGGGAACACCATCATCTTTCCGAATCGCACGCCACCTGACGTGGAAATATATTGCTTTCCTTCAATGTCATGGGATCAAAATCCTGAAACTTCTTCCCTATCAACATTTGAGTGTCCTTAGACCCCATGGTCTGCAGTGCCTCTGGGAAGCCACTCCAATGGCAGTAAATGCTGGCCCAGCCAGTGAAGCTTACATCCTGGGAATCAATCAGAGAAAAGCCCAGAATATGTACTGTACCCTTGTGATACCCAGTGTATCCTCTAATCAGTATTCAAGATGCAGGAGGTTCCTCAGCTGAGTGGAGCCAGGGACTGGGCAGTGATGTGGTCAGCAAGAGATTTTCTTGCCCATGTTTGACCCAATGTAATGAGACTTCATGGGATTGAGTCAATGTTGAGCACTCCCAAACTGTATACCATTGTGCCAGTCCCTCTACTGGGTCTACCCGGTCAGTGGGGTTGGTAATCGTGACGGTGGTGTCTGGGACATTGTTTGTAAGGTATGATTCTGTGGATATGACTGTGTCTAACATTTTCCTTACTAGTCTGTGAAACAGCTGTCTCAATTTTGGCACTAATCCACAGATGTTAGGAGGGAGTATTCTTGCCAGGTTCAACAGGACTATTTATAATAAATTTATAATTTGTAATTTCCATTGCCTTAGTTGATGCCATATGGGCCATCCAGTTTCATTCCTATTGCAGAGTTTCTACAGCATCTAGTACATTGACCGAATGGTTTTATTTGCATAGAAGCCTAGAAAATGAATGTCAATGGCCAGTTTTGACAATGGGCATCAGTCAATCATGTTCAAGATCTCATATAATATCCAGTGCATGTTATTGGATAGTGAACGGAATGAAGCAAGCTGTTTACTGATTTGAGACAACAAGGTGCAGGGCTGGATGAACACAGCAGGCCAAGCAGCATCATAGGAGCAGAGAGGCTGACGTTTCGGGCCTAGACCCTTCATCAGAAAAGGGGGAGGGGAAGGGGGTTCTGAAATAAATAGGGAGAGAGTGGGAGGCGGATAGAAGAGGGATAGAGGAGAGGATAGGTGGAGAGGAAACAAACAGGTCGAAGAGGCGGGGATGGAGCCAGTAAAGGTGAGTGTAGGTAGGGAGTTAGGAAGGGGATAGGTCAGTCCAGGGAGGACGGACAGGTCAAGGGGGCGGGATGAGGTTGGTCGGTAGGAGATGGAGGTGCGGCTTGAGGTGGGAGGAGGGGATAGGTGGGAGGAAGAACAGGTTAGGGAGGCAGGGACGAGCTGGACTCTCTCCCTATTTATTTCAGAACCCCCTTCCCCTCCCCCTTTTCTGATGAAGGGTCTAGGCCCGAAACGTCAGCCTCTCTGCTCCTATGATGCTGCTTGGCCTGCTGTGTTCATCCAGCCCTGCACCTTGTTGTCTCGGATTCTCCAGCATCTGCAGTTCCTACTATCTCTGTTTACTGATTTGTCTCCTTTTCTTAGCCCAAAGGCATAGACATTAGTTGCTTATGCTGATTCAGCTGTCAGAATGTGATTTAGCACAGATCAGCAATCAATGACCTTCTGATCTGCATGTCTGAGGCACTTGCGCATCAATGTCCATTGATGCAGATAACTCTTATCTATTGGAAGTATTGTTAAAGAGGAAGGGCAACAAAATTAAAAGTTTGAATGTCAAACTACATTTCCAACTTGGTGAATCTGCATTCTTTGTAAAAACACACCAATTTTCTATTCTCTTTGATTCCTGTTACAGCAATTTTTCACTTCTCCTTATTACAAATTTTTTTTAATAGATCAAACACTGAAAGAGGACAGAAGGTAATTTACAAACCTGCTGCTACAATGGAAGCATGAGAACACAATGAATCAGTTTACCAGCAGAAAACCTGGAATCAAACCTGGATGTTAGAGCAAAAGTTAATGATTCAGCGAGAACAAATTATCTGTTTATTATCTACGCTGTTCAGAACTTTAGACGTGGCTCAATGCAATTTGAAACTGTGTTTCTGAATAACAAATATTTCGTGCAGTACTAGGAAGAAGTCATGCTTTAATAAAATACTGCATTGTAATATGTTACGATCTGAATGCAGTGCAAAGAAATGCAGTACCTAAACAGCAGAGCTGTACAGCACTATAGCAATTCCACTGAGGCTGTTGATTGTTCAGCTACTAGGAGACTGGTAAACAATTTTGATCAGTTGTATAAAACAATTAATTTTAAATGAATTATTGTCTGTTTTTTTTATATGCGACGTGTTATATAAGGGCACAATTTTATTTACTGTATGACACAGGATGTCTCACACACACGTTTGGTGGTGGAGGATAATGTTGAAGAGTGCTTGGGTATATTTAATTAACACAACTGCAGAAACAGGTTGAACTGTAGAAGGGTCTAGGCCCGAAACGCCAGCCTTCCTGCTCCTCTGGTGCTTCTTGGCCTGCTGTGTTCATCCAGCTCTGCACCTTGTTATCTCAGATTTTCCAGCATCTGCAGTTCCTACTATCTCTGAACTGTATATCCGCCTGGTGAAGTATAATTTTGGGACGAAAAGGATGTGCACAGTGTGTTTGTATTTTTGTTTTAGTTTGACCTGACAACTTTTTGTAAAGTGATATAAAGTCAGTAGTAATCTATACTGGAAAAAGCTGCGTGATGGTGTCGAGAAATCCTTTTAAAAGCATTATTGTGAACCATAACCGACAGCAATGACTATATCTCAATGACTCAACAAAGATTTTTTTTGGAGTAAAGGACAACTGTAAACACAAATCAAGAGATCACCCTCAGGATAGTAAGACTATAACTTGCATTTTCATACAATGTTTTATGACAAAGTCCCAGGGCTTCATAAATTTGACTAATCGCGGAAATATCTTCCAAGGAAATTCAGAAAAGTTGATCACCAGCCAGATCATAAAAATGGGTTTTCAGAGATGTGGAAAAGGAGAAGTGGTCTAATGAATGATTTTCAGGAGGGTATTTGAAGTTTTTATTCATTCATACTGTTGTTGCTGACAAGGCCAGCATTTATTGTGCATCCCTAATTCAGAACATGGTAGAGATTAACCCTCAGATACCACTGTACTCTGTATGGTTCACAGGGAGAGTTTCGTGACTTTGACACAGTAACAAAAAAGGAACAATTACATTGTTTTAAATCAGGATGGTATGTGACTTGGATGGGTGTTGCTTGTTCCCATGTGAGGTCTTCCTAGGTGGTAGAGGCCATAGGTTTGTCATGTACTGTCAAAAAAGCTTAGTGAGTTGTTGCAATGATTCTTGTAGCTAGTATACCCTACTGTCACTGTGCTGTGGTGCAGGGAGTGAATGTTGAAGGTAATGGATGGGGTGCCAATCAAATAGTGACGTTGTCCAGGATGATGTCAAGCTTCTTGAGTCTTATTGGAGCTGCACTCAGCCAGGGAAATGGGGAGTATTCCATTACATTCCTAACTTGTGTCTTGAAGATGATAGCCATGATGTGGAGGTGCCAGTGTTGGACTAGGGTGGGACAAAGTCAGAAGTCACATGTTACCAGGTTATAGTCCATAAAAGTTTATTTGAAATCACAAGCTTTCGCTTGTGATTTCAAATAAACCTGTTGGACTATAACCTGGTGTCGTGACTTCTGTCTTTGTAGATTATAGGTTTTGAGGAGTTTGGAGTTGAGTTTCTTGCCACAGAATGTCTAGTCTCTGACCGGCTCTTGTAGCCACTGTGTTTGTAAGACTGGTCTAGTTGTTTTATTAATTATAGAACCAGGATGTTGATGGTGGGAAATTCAGTAATGATAATCCCTCTGAATGTCAAGAATAGGTTTGATTCTCTTTTATTGAAGATGGTCATTACCTGGCACTTCAGTAGCAAACATGTTACCTGTTGTTGAATTTTCAGAGTTGACACAGATTACTTTCAGTAATTAGGAAGTTTTGAAAGGAACTGAACATGATCAATGAACTTCCCTATTTCTAACTACGTATTGGATTGTTTGAAGCAGCTGAAGATGGTTAGCCAAAGAAAAATATCCGGAGGAACTTCCAACATTAGCTATGTGAAATGGAGGGTTTTTTGGGGCAGCACGGTGGCTCAGTGGTTAGCACTGCTGCCGCACAGTGCCAGCAAACTGAGTTCAATTCTAGCCTCAGGTGCATTAAGATAGATAAATCCCCTGGGCCTGATCAAGTCCATCCTTGTACATTGTGTGACTCTGGGCAAGAAATTGCAGAGGCCCTTGCACAGATTTTTGCTTCATCTTTAGCCACTGGTGAAATTCCAGAAAACTGGAGGGTGGATAATCTTGTTCCATTATTTAAGAAAGGTAGCAAAGACAAGCCAGGGAACTACAGGCCAGTGAGCCTGACATCAGTGGTAGGCAAGTTATTGAAGAGGATACTGAGGGACAGGATCAAGCGACATTTGGATAGTCAAGGTCTGTTTAGGGATAGTCAGCATGGATTTATGCACGGGAAGTCATGTCTAACAAACCTTTTGGAGTTTTTCAAAGAGGTAACCAAGAGGATAGATGAGGGTAGGGAAGTGGATGTTGTCAACATGGACTTTAGTAAGGCCTTTGACAAGGTCCTGGACGGCAGGCTAGTCACGAATGTTAGGTCGAATGGGATCCAGGGAGAGCTAGTCAATTGGATTCAAAATTGGCTCAATGGTAGGAAGCAGAGTGTGATGATTGAAGGTTGTTTCTCGGACTGGAGGCCTGTGACTAGTGGTGTGCCACAGGGGTCGGTGCTGGGACCTTTGTTATGTGTTATTTACATAAATGATCTGGATGTGAATGTACAAGGCATGATTAGCAAGTATGTGAATGATACAAAATTAAGAGGTATCATTGATAATGAGGAAGATTATCAAAAATTACAGCCGGATCTTGATCAGATGGGTAAGTGGGCTGAGGATTGGCAATTGCAATTCAACACAGATAAGTGTGAGGTGTTGCACTTTGGAAAGTCAAACCAAGGTAGGATTTATAGAGTAAATGCTAAGGTTCTGAGGAGTGTAGTGGAACAGAGGGACCTAGGAATAGTGCGTAGTTCATTGCAAGTGGCATCACCAGTGGACAGGGTAGTGAAGAAGGCATTTAGCATGTTGGCCTTCATCGGTCGAGGCATTGAGTGTAGGAGTTGGGATGTTATGTTACAGTTCTATAAGTCATTGGTGAGGCCACACTTGAAGTATTGTGTACCGTTTTGGTCACTCTGTTATAGGAAAGACATAGTTACACTGGAAAGTGTGCAAAGAAGATTTACGAGGATGTTGCCAGGACTAGTAAGCCTGAGTTTTAAGGAGAGGTTGGCCAGGATAGGACTTTATTCCTTGGAACATAGGAGAATGAGGGGTGACCTTTATTGAGGTGCATAAAATCATGAGGGGCATAGACAGGATGAATCCATATAGTCCTTTTCCCAGGGATGGGGAATTGAAAACTAGAGGGCATAGGTTTAAGGTGAGAGGGGAAAGATTTAAGAAGGATCTGAGGGGCACCTTCTTCACACAGAGAGAGTGGTCCATATATGGAATGGGCTGCCAGAGAAAGTGGTTGAGGCAGGTAAAATAGCAATATTTAAAAAACATTTTGAGAGGTACATGGATTTGAAGGGTTTAGAGGGATATGGACCAAATGCAAACAATTGAAACTAACTGAGTTGGCACCATGGTCAGCGTGGGACCATTTGGAGCCAAAGGGCCTGTTTCCGTGTTCTTTTACTCTATGACTGTCTGTGTGGAGTTTGCATATTCTCCCCATGTCTGCGTGAGTTATCTCCAAGTGTTCTGGCTTCCTCCCACAGTCCAAGGATGTGTAGGTTAGGTGGATTAGCCATGGAAAATGCAGGGTTGCAGGGTTAGGGAAGGGAGAGGAGTCTGGATGGGATACTCTTTGGAGAGTCAGTGTGGACTTGCTGGACTGAATGGCCTGTTTTCACACTGTTGGGATTCTAATTCTAACTTCATTTTGACTTAGCATCCTTCCCTTCTTCCTCACCTTTGATGGTCTTCATTGCCCTGAAAAGGCTTTTCATATAAATTAGTCAATTGGAAAACACGGGTGATTTCATGAAGGAAAGAAAAATATCAGTTTTGGATTCAAAGAAGAAGGGGAAAAATATCCTGCAGGAAACCGAGGGCTCTTGCAGTGCTGCGGCAGTATCTCTATCTCTGAATCCAGAGGTGTGGATTCACATCCGAGCCATTTCAGATATGTGCCATAATGTATCCAATCAGGTTGATTGGAAAACATATCTATCCTGGGAAACCCCTGCAGCAATGTCCTGGGGCTGACCAATCATCCTTGGTGTTAGGTGTGATTCCAACAGGGCTCCTTAACGTGAGTCATTTGTTGTCTTAATTTCAACGGCAGCCATTCCCAACATACCTCTGGAATTTAGCTCTTTTGCCTTTGTTTGGACCAAGCAAGGAACGAGATCTAAAGTCAGGCGGCTTCAAAGCTGCCAATGCAGATGCAAAATAAACAGGAGATAGACTCAACTCTTTTCCACAGAGGGTTGCAAAAGATGTGTGGATGGATGCAAGGCTGAAGGAGGCTGCAGGGTAATGTGAGACAAGGTGTGCCAGGATACAGACAAGGAGTTTATAGTTTTAATATTTGGGTGGAGCCAGTACGGGGCAAACCAAATCAGGCTGAATTTGGAGAACCAGTAACTAATTACCCTGCTTTCGTCAGATACTACTTTGGATTCTAAGTGACTTTTTGAAGGAATTGTTTTGACCTCTAATTCAGAATTGAACAAACAAATGGTCAGCTTTTTGAAATATGAGGTGGTTCATGCCAATGTTCGAGATTGTGGTTGAATAACTTTTCGCACACTTGCTTTCATTGCTCAGACATTTTGAGTATAGGAGTTGGGTCGTCATGTTGAGGTTGTACAGGACGTTGGTGAGGCCTCTTCTGGAGTATTGTGTGCAGTTCTGGTCGCCCTGTTATAAGAAAGATATTATTAAACTGGAGAGGGTTCAGAAAAGATTTACCAGGATGTTGCCAGGAATGGAGGGTTTGACATATAAAAATTATCTGGAAAGGTTGGGACTTTTTTCACTGGAGAGTAGGTGGTCGAGGGGTGACTGTATTAAAGTTTCTAAAATCATGAGGGGCATAGATAAGGGCAAGGGTCTTTTCCTTAGGTGAGCTCAAATCTAGGGTCCATATTTTTAAGATGAGGAAAAAGATTCAAAAAGGACACAAGGGGCAACT